GGTATTTATAGTAATTAATGCGTATATACGCGTTAAGATGTTATACTAATTACGCCTCGCGTCTTTGCCTGTGTGAATTAGGATAAAACTTATCAGTACAGAGCGGTGTTTAAATTCTTAGTCCTTATTTATATTATAAGCGTGAAAGTAAGTTTGTTTGTTTATTATCTCTTAGCCCCTTAACTGACTAATCAATCACGTTGAAATTTGATGTACAGGTATTATACGAGTATGGGATTAAGAATGGCGTAGTCTAGTTTTTATTGCAGTCAATATTTCGGTCACATGGAAGAAGTCGTGGGTAAAAGCTAGTTGCAGCATAATTAAAAAAGCCGTGTTAGTATTCATATTTCTTTTTGTAAATTTTACACCCATGTTTCTTTGAGAATATTAAGTTTTACAGATAAAATACTCCCATAAATATATGTTGAGTATATTCTCAATATTGACTCTACATGGTTGCTCAGTGTAGATATAACTGCCTTTCTGTAATTTTAAATATTCTAATAATACAATATATATATATATATATATATATATATATATATATATGGATTTTGAATGACTTTTTTAAATATACAGTTTAATTAACGTATTTTAAGGAAAAAAAAAGTGAAAACGCGAGAAAACATAGAAAATTTCACACGAATGTTTCATTTATATATACATATATATTTAATTTAGTTGATTCTACGAAACGGTAAAACAATAGAACATTTGAACAATGTCGTATTTACTTTGTATTTTTAGAGCTCGACTTAATTTTGTATGCAAATTGAAGTAATTTGAATAACTTATTGTAGCTCAGTTACGTTAGTGAACAAAAGCTGAGAGTAACCTTTCCGACGGTGGTGTTTCGAAGACTTATTTCTAAGAAATACTATATAATTACAACATTCGGCAAGATTTAACTGGGAAACAAAAGAAAATCTATTGTAAACAATTATTATGGTATTAAAAGTACTTAGTTCCACTGTTTTTATTATAAAATATTTTAGTTTTTTTTTTCTAATCGCGACTGATCTCGAAACATTTTCCATAGCTGTGGATATTTTGTTAATTTTAAACTTTCGCGTTGTTGACACTTATTTTAAATACTCTATTGGGATTTAATGCGATGAGAAGTTGCAGGTATATAGTAGCACTATTACCTGTACAGCAGTTCAATCCACGTCGAAATGTTGGCAATAAAAATCAAATATGTAGGTACTATTTACCTGCATTTTTCGTTGCGTTACGTCCTGATAGTGTATTTTAAATATTCTATCGAAATAGGTATATTTACTTTAGCAAAAAAAAAACAGAGATTTGAGTCTTACACACGCTCGCAGGGTGAAAGGGATTGTTAGCAATGGAGTTTCACAGCCCCTTTGCTAGTAATATGCCTTAATAGGTTGACCTCCACGTGGTTCCCCCTGGAAACCATCGTGAACAATTCTTGTTGAATTCGTTACGATGGGCTAACTGACCTACTTCATCCTCACCTATCATCCTTCACTGGTGCCCTGCCGGTGTATACCGATAGCGCGGGTGATGTTACCATTCCATTATCATCCGTTAAAAAAACACACGTTCGCACATGCACACGTACATACACACATGTACATTTAACGACGACAAAAAAAACCTACTATTATTAATAGTTTTTATAACTATCTATATCTCTCTAGGCTATCCGATCCATATAGTGGTTAAGTTAGAAATTTTTGTCCAAGTTCATAGACCAAAAAAAGAACTAAAAAAATTTTTTTTAAATTTTCGTTTCGGTAATCATTAGGATTAAGCAGAACACGTTGCTTAAAAATTTTTTTCATCATAAGATCTCAAAACTAGAAACTTTGAGCTTTAAAATCCTTTCTATTTAAAATCCAATACGACCATTTTTAAAGGAAATATAGATACTTGAAAAATCTCAAAAATTTGCATTTTTTTCTGATCTCTTAATTTTTTCCACTAGTGTATAACTTTTGTTTGTAAATGCAATTATTATAATTGCTTACGCACACGCGATATATCACCTACCTACTTACGGTAAACATAATATGACTGGTAAAATTTCGTCCGTGCAACTGTGATGTGTTCATTATTATATTATAATTATTATGACTGTCCACTGCTGAACATAGGCCTCTTCCATGAAGGGAGTTTTACCAGTAGTTGCTATTCTTAGCAAGTACTGGCCTTGTTCATTAGCCGTGATAAAACCTATATCTTCATCCATTCCATATAGTACACCAATATTCATACGGATTAGTTAAGTTTTTAAGGCGTTAAATGGCAATAAACAAACAAACTTATTTTCACATATATATATTTTAATGGATCATAACGAAATTGTAACCCCGTTTCCGCTATCGGTATACGCTAGCGATGCTCCAGTAAGGGGTGATAGGTGACGATGAAAGTAGGTCAGTAAACCCATCGTGACGAAATACACTAGATTTAATCACAATGGTATTCAGGGAGAACTGTGGGGTCAACCTGATAGGGTGAATTGCTAGCAATGGGTCAGTTTCCATTTCTAACAATCCTTTCCCCATTTCACATTTGTGTTAGGAAGGTATTCATCACATAAATTTAATTATTAATTATTTCACGTATTTCGCCAAACTATGAATATAGTTTGTTGACGAAACTGATAGGGCTAAATTACAAAACTTACCGAATTGAATTGTTTCTACGCTACTACAAATCTGACTAATATGTCTACACGTAGACACACGCTACAAATGCGTGTTTCGTAGTTCGGGGTGATCGCGTAGAGTTCCAAGACTAACTTTTACATATATTCATACATACCCGTTACGCATGTCCCCCATTGGGGTGGACAGAAATAGATTTTTGATATAATCAAATTTAGATAAAATCGAAAACAAATTCAAATAGTCGTTAAATGGTCCAAACAAGAAAGAAGAAGAGAGAAGGTCGTAAAAAGAGAACGCTTAACGCCAAACTCCAACATTATTGTCTAAACGAATAAATAAAATATGTAACTCCTTATTCTCGACGTATAATAGTAAGACACTTATGTAGCTATTAAATTTGAACGGGTAATGCAAATATAATGCTTTTGACGTAACGTATAAGTTGAGTCATCCAAATATACAAGCATACTCGTATGTAAGTTAAGACAAAAAATTTTTCCGATCTTGCTTACATTTCCGTGTTATGTTTATAATGGTGTCTTATTCTAATTCGAATTCAAATTGAATTAAATTTTTTTTTTAATACAATGTTTGGAAAGTCGTTATTTGTTGAGAAGAAACTCAACACTTACTATTTTAAATCTCTATCGACATTATTTGTATTTATTGATATATACTATGTATGGCCGTTAAAAGCCCGTACATGATCGATAACCATCATGCACATTTATCATTCAAGAAATCGTTTGGTTTTTTTTTACAACTAAGAATCACAAACGAGCTGACGGGCCATTTGATGGAAAGTGGTAATCGTCGCCTATAGACATGAGCAGTACCATGGACATAACAGAGTATACTGTTTCGCCTATGATACCTCCATACATTGCCATTCCTGAGGACTCAGATGGTATTCCTCTGTAGCCTTTAAATTCACGCAATATCCCACCCTTCAAACCGAAATACAGCCATGCAAACACAACTGCTTTACGGTTGAAACACGAATGGGACAGAGGTATCCAAGTAAACGACTTTTATACAAAGTCTCCCTCTTGTAATAGTGTGTAACAGGCTTCGTTTTAATAAGTGTTTTAATAATAGTTTTAATTTTATTAAAAGGTAGATTCAAAATATCCTTCGGTATCTTACTATAACATTTAAAGCCCATTCCTATAAAAGATTTTTTTTTAACGATACTTCGGAACAGCAAGTTTAATTTTGGTTCTAGTGTTAAGATTATTAAGATCGCTGTTTCTAGGAAACAGTTGAAGATTTCTGCGTATACACAAAATGTTTGCGCATATATATTGTGAAGCTACGGTGTGAATATTTGCTTCCTTGTTATTTAGATTGCGTTATTGCTGTCATTGTGTGTCATATCTATTAGGACTGCAGGTATCGCGTAATAAGTTCATTATTACTGATATCGATTCAAAAGCAGATTGCGATTTTGATTTGATCCCAATTCGTATGAGTTATTTCGTACCAGCTGAACGAATTATGATCGCATTATCATTATATCATACAACTAGTGTACATAATATAATAATAAATATGTTTACGACAACAAATTTAAATGAGAGGAGAGTTGATGATGTAGAGGCATTGTTGCTGGTGTAAAACTCGATATGTCCACTTATCGTCGAGCATATAAGAATCTAATGTGACAAGAGGCGAGCATACCGTAGTCAATGAGATCTATTTCTTTCACAAAGTTGTATATGTGCAACATTCCACATAATCTTTCTTTAACATATCATCTATGTAATTTCAGTAAGCCTCAGCATAACCTTCGTTAGCTTGGAGATAAAATTAAAGATATAATTTTTTTTCCAAGCTGAGGAATCCAAATAGGGTAAACTTGTAGCTATCTCATTGCTAGTAATATATTCTATTAGGTCGTTCTCCACACGGTTCCCCCTGGAAACCATCGTACTGAACTCCAGATGTATTCATCATGATGGGTTAACTGACCTACCTTTTCATTCTCACCTATTATCCCTCACTGGTACCCCGCCGGCGTGTTGGCACTACCTAAGAGAAGACGCCGAGTAGTTTCTTCTAAAATTGTTAAAGCTCTTCGTTTTTGGTATGGAGACATGACAACATATAATTATAATTACAGTAAACATTCTAAGTTACGTTATTTACCAGTTCTATTGAAAAATACTTACCTAATTGCACGATAAGAAAATTCCATTTTAAATCTGTATAGATTGCTTCTAAATGCTCCCTGAAATCGGAGAGAGTATCCGCATAAAAGCTCAAGGTGCAATACTTTTGCAAACTGAATGCAAGTGCACAAGTCGAGACAAAAGCGGTGTGCACAAAATATCCAGAATATACAGGCAAATTTTGGCCCAGTCTGCTGCGAACCGTCGACGTGCACGGTCGCCGCGTGTCCCCGCACAGATATTTGAATTTACCCCGACAATTGACGTAAACGTGCGCTCCTTATAAATTGGATTTTCAAGCGGTGTTATACTGAAATCGAAGCGATAATTTGCATAGAAATCGTTACCTACAGATAACTCCGGTGTGGATTAATTTTTGATTACACTGATACGAAAATGTAAATTGTAATGTGTTGTGCAAATAGATATTGGTGTTATTTTTGAGTTGAGATTAAATGTTGTTTTGGACTCGGTGAGTACTTTTAAATTTTTATTTCCTATTTATTTAAACCAAAATTAATGTACGACGCGAATATATTTAAAAAGAATAACTTATTAATATTAAGCATTTCAAATTACAGTGTGAGTCTCACCTTAATAAGATTTTATAATTAAGCAAAACAAATTTATTAAATATAAAAATAATAATAATTCTTAAAAAGTGATTAAGAAGTGATTCATGAAATATGTATTAATTATGCAATTACATTTTTTTGCTCTTTTTTTTTCTTTTTTGCTCTTGAAAAAAAAATCGTAACAAATATAATTACAAAAATTAAAGAAAAGAGTGAACTTTATCAATTGCAAATAATAGTATTATAATCGATGTAGTTTTATCGTAAATATCACGTACCATACCATAAAAATGAAGCAAATCGGGATTATTTTTTAAAGAAAGTTTGTGATTTCATAAACTAGAAAACAGGTAAAATAATTTAAGTTTTACAAAGAAACTGACTTCATTTGTGGTAAAATCAGTTATTATAATTTAAAAATTAAACTACAGAACGGATTTTAATAAAAATTTTATAGAACAATCTTGTTGCACTTATATACTTTTATTAAACTTATTGTCTATTATCTTTATAGTATATTCATACTTAGCTGGTGGGCTTAGTTTTACTTTTACATAAAGAATTTTTTTTTTCAATTTAGTCTGATGGAGTTACGAGGTAACGTCAAAAATACAACCGAATTGGGAACGTCTTTCTTTTTGAAGTCAGTTAATTAGGATAAAAGTCCAAAACATATTGCGTCGAATTGTGAAATAACAATGGAAATTAATGTAATTCATCCGTGGTGAATTCGTCGCGATAGCATGATTTCACCCTATGCAAGACAATTTCACTTATTTAAAGAAAACACATATTATTATAGAGAATTAATTTTCACACCCTAGAACCAGAATGGTCATGCACAGTGCGGTTTCAGAAAAGTTTGTGGAATCATCTTTCTGTCGAGGCTTTCCTTAGAGACTATAGCATGGGGATCTTAAAAAAAAGCATATTAAGGTTTATTAAGGGTCGGCAATGGGCCCGTGACATTCCTGGAGTTACAGGCGTATATAGGCTACGGTAACTCCGTTCACCCAGACGGGCCGGTATGCTTGTTTGCCACAATAAAAAAAAATAGGGTCGATTCTGAGGCGTCATTGCTCTAAATCTATCTTTAAAATTAAAATTTCAATTTGATATTAAAATTAAAAAAAGGTAAAAATGTATTTATTATATTATCAAAGTATGTTAGTACAAAATTTAGCATTGATTCCTACACTGGACCGAGGCTGTCCTGTAAGAAACAGGATTCGTATTACTTATAGACGCTTACGGAAATTGATATAGGCTTTTTAGTAGTGTACATAATTATTTTCAGTACTTATATTTTATACAAAGTAAATATTTTTATATAAGATTTCATCACTAATGAATTCATAAATATTTGTGATCACACCGAAATCTTTATTTTAAGATTCAATTAATCATCTAATAGAATTAAGTAACAGTTACAATTAATTTAGTTTATGATGGTCCATAAAACAGTAATTTTTCGAAATTATCAAATTAAAATATTAAATCAAGAGATAAATTTTGTAGAGAAATGACACATCAGAATAGGCCCCAGTGCTTGATCTGTTTACGGGTACCCATAATCTATCCATATCAATTATTACCTTTTACCCGCGACTTCATCTGCGTGACCGACATATGATTACTGACCGGCATAAGAAGTAGTTATGCCCTTCTCTATCTCATATACTAGAGGGAGGCTTTGTACAAAAGTCGATTGCTTTGCACGAATAGGAAAGAGGTACCCTGTCCCATTCGTGTTTCAACCGTAAAGTAGTTGTGTTTGCATGGCTGTGTTTCGGTTTGAAGGGTGGGATATGGCGTGAACTTACTAGGTACGGAGGATTAACACCTGAGTCCTCAGGAATGGTAACGCATGGGGGGTATCATGGGCGAAACAGTATATTCTGTTATGTCCATGGTACTGCTCATGTCTATAGGCGACGGTTACCACTTTCCATCAGGTGGGCCGTCAGTTTGTTTGCCATTCTAAGTTGTATAAAAAAATATATCAAAATATTATAGTGATCGGTTAAGCGTCGTTAAGACGCCATAAACGAACAAAAAAAAAAAACTCCTTTTCACATATATAATATTAGATAAGAATTTACCTTCCACTACTGGACATAGATCTCTTTACAAGTGGAGGATATCAGCATACCGGCACGTTAGTTAGGCGACCAGGTATAGAATTTAATCTCGAGTTTTCCTTCTTTTGCTCCTTTTATATTGTTCTTTGTTCACTTAATCCGTCGCCTCCAAGCGATAAAGTAGTTCTAACTCGTTGTATACCGTACGTATTACTGTAATTACGTATATTAAAAAATACATAATATTTATGAGTATTATTCCGTATTTTAATTTGCTAATAAGGTACCTACTTGAGGTAGTAAAAAGTATTTTTTTTTTATACAACTTAGAATGGCAAACAAACTGACGGCCCACCTGATGGAAAGTGGTAACCGCCGCCTATAGACATGAGCAGTACCATGGACATAACAGAGTAACCTGTTTCGTCCATGATACCCCCCATGCGTTGCCATTCCTGTGGACTTAGGTGTTATTTCTCTGTACCCTGTATTTTACATTCTTAACATTGTAGATGTTGGTTTACATTGATTGATATATTGTACTTATATAATTTATTATTAGTTTATTATTTCAATACCGTAATGTAGTTGGCTTTTATGGCTGTGTTTCAATTTGAGGGGTGGGATATGGCAGTGAATTTACAGGGTACAGAGAAATAACACCCGAGTAGTCAGGAATAGCTAAGCATAGGGGGTATCATAGGCGAAATAGTATACTCTGTTATGTCCATGGTATGATATATAATATAATAATAATACATTTTCAAAGATAAACTTTTACACTTTGACATTTATTGCTTTATTTTTTATTTCTTTATTTATTTATGATAACAAACGGTCATTTATAAAATATTAATACAATATGCATCATAATTTTATAACAATGTACCTTACAATTACAATAACAGTATATTAATCATAGTTGTAATTAATGAAGTCCCAAGGAAATACGCAATAAATATAATAACAAATCCAAAGGACTAGTATATATAAGTGCCAAAGCTGAAAAAAAGTGCCGATTTAATACTTATCACGTGAGTAACTATTCAAATTATTTATATTTACTAGACACTATAAATAGTAATTATTGAGATAGGACACAATAGATTAAACAATAAATTATTCTACTAAACAAAACAAAACTATGTTGCCAATAATATATCATACTTCAATTGAAGAAAAATCTGTGAAATCGGTTAGGTATGGTATTAAAAACACCTTTTTTTTTGTGAAAAATTTAGTGTTTTTTTCAATAATATCAATAAATTATATTACTTTGTTTTTGTTTTTAAATTAATAAAACGATTTTTTTATACAACTTAGAATGGCAAAGAAACTGATAGACCACTTAATGGTAAGTGGTAACCGTCGTTTACGGACGTAGTAATACCGTGTATAATATTTATTAATATTATCACCTACTTACTCGTTACAAAGGTAAATTGTACTATTCTAATAAAGCATTTCGTGAATCGATGCGTCGCATTTTTACAGGAGATATCAAATCGACGAAAATCCATTCGGATGAGACACTTAATCATCTACAGACTTCGAATCGAGCTTGGGTCAAAGAGACACTCGACTCCTTTTTGGGTCTGTTAATAAGGGCCCTCCGTCAACGGGTTACGATAATAGGCTATCAGGGTTCTTTTATAAGTGATGTGCATGGCTTTAATCGGTTTTTGGGTTCCGTGATTCAAAAAATGTCACGCGTGTCGGTCTTTGTGATACAGCTGTTTATGTCAATTATAAACTTTAAATAACAATAATAATCAATAGATTTATTTTCTCTTCACAATTCATCACAGTGAAATACAATGAGACATGCTTATATTGAATCAAATTATAAATATAATTGTGAGAGACTGGTGCCTGAGATAGGTATAATACAGGTAGTATTACAGGTCACCAGGGCCTCACTCCGCAGGGTTACTTACTAAGTACTTGTAATATAATATGTGAATTTAATGTAATAAATATAATTTATAGGAAGACATAATTAATTATAATTTAATCTGGGAGTTGTGTGTGTGTGTGCGTGTGTGTGTGCGCGCGTGTGTGTGTGCGCGCGTGTGTGTGTGTGCGAGTATGTGTGCGTGTATGTATGCGTGTGTCTGTAGGTGCATGTGTGTCTCTCGCTGTGTGTCTTTGTGTTTGTACGCATTCATATAAAAATTAAGGTCTTTAAGTTATTTTCTCACATTTGATTATTGAAAATGAGCTAAAATTGGAATGATTACTTCGCCTGTGCTATCAATATACGCTGGCGGAAAACCAATAAAAAAATGAGAAGTGATTAACTGATTGGTACTTAATTACAATAGTTTTCAGGGAGATTGAGTTAAAAATCAATGTGATAGAGTATGTTATTTGCAATGGGGACTGGAGTCCCCATTACGAATAAACCCTTTCCTCTTATAAATGATACTTGCCACTTGTCACAAAATAAGCTGACAGCTCGTTTGACATGCCATGTCGTGTAAAAAACCTACAGTATAAGTAAAAATGCGGGCTTTGCACTTCAACAAAGCTACTTAGTATTCTATCACATCTAGCCGGTGAAAATGGGAGCGCAGGACAAGAGAGAAAATCTTAAACGATTAGAATTAGAATCGGTTCAGCAGTTTTAAAAATTATAGCTACATTCTTCTGCTATTTTAGCTCTAGGAATGATTTTCTAAGAGTACATAGGTGCTAATACATGTATTCCTTCATCATTTAAACCATTATTCGTCCACTGATAGACATAAGACTCCCCCATAGACTGCCATAAGGAACGGTCCTGAGCTATCTGCATCCATTGACTCTCTGCAATG